AATCAATCAATCAATCAATCAATCAATCAATCAATCAACCAATCAATCAATCAATCAAAACAAACAATCAATCAATGATTTTTTTTATTTATTATTTTTCAAATCATCTAAGGCAGTTAAGAAAAACAACCCCCCCCACAAAAAAAAATTCTTATATTTTTTTTGTGTAGTCCTTTAGAGGACGTGGTGCGCAGGCCGCGTGGGAACTCAGCTGCGTGGCCTCGACCGCGGGCCCGTGGCCGGCCTCCTTGGACGCCGCCAAGGCCGCAGGATCTGCGGCCGACGGTGCCACGTAGGACTGCACCGCCCGCCGAATGAATGACAAGTACCTGCCCCGCACGCAGTGGAGTCGCAGCAGGGTTCGCGCGCATCGGCGGTGGACGGTCGTCCATGTCGAACCGCACAATGCCGACCCAACCCGACGTGAGGGACGAGCCCGCTTGCAGATCACCGGTGCGTCCAGGACCCACTGTAGAGAACATCATACGAGGAGTGTTCAACATGCGGGCACACAGCGATGGCGGCGACGATGACGCCGGTGGCGGTGACGATGCCGACGAAGGGTTCAGGGAGGATGCGGATGCATGGGACGTCGACGACGACATTCATATTCCGCCTTTGGTAAAGACGGTTGGGAGGGGGAGAGGACGCAGCAGAGGTGCTGTTCGCGGTCGATCCATTGGCTGTGGCGGCAGAGGAGGCATAAGCGACGACGGGGGGAAGTCTATGACGTACTGGTCCACAGATGACCAACTGCTCCTGGTGAGATGCAAGCGGGAGCAAGACATGCACCTCGCCGGGCTGGGTCACAATTACGGGCGGATGCGGACGAAGGTGTGGAAGTGGGATGACATCGCCAAACGGATGGCGAAGGCGGGGAGGCCTAGAGACGCAAACGACTGCATGAAGAAGTGGGACAATCTGTTCCAAAACTACAAGAAGATACAAAGGTTTTAGAATGCCAGCGGCGGGGCAGACTTCTTCAGGTTGTCAAATGCATAAAGGAAGGAGAACAACTTCAAGTTCCGGATAAACATGGTGCTGTACAACGAGATCCATGGAGGCATGTTGGGGAACCACACAATTTCCCCTCCCAACGTCGTCGACACCGGGAGTCCGGACGGGGTGCAACTGCCCAGGCGAGGAGCGGCTGGTGGGGAGTCTATTGGTAGTGAGGCCGGCGGTGATGGCTGCCCTGAAGAACGTTCTTTGGCGAGGGACTTCGACAACAACGCAGGCAGTGGGGGTGCAGGCGGGAAGCGGAAGAATGCACGTCAACAGACATTGGAGTCGATCGTTGATGTCATGGACCGCCATGGCGAACTGATGTCGTCGACGATCGATTCCTCTAACATACGACAATGCAGCATTCTGACGAGGCAATGCGACATACTCGAGTAGGAAGTTGCTGTTCAAAAAGCGCACTACGCGGTGTCCGATGAAACGCAGAGGATGATGTGCCGCGCGCTTATGGAGATCGCTGCCGCCATCCGTGGTCGGTCGACGATGTAAGTCGTTCGATCGAGTGTTGATTGAAGTTGACTACTTGCATTTGTAGTTCACACTCTTTGTTTCTCTTATTTCCTTGATGAATTCTTCTTACAATGAGCACGCTAGTAGACCGTACGCTGATGACGTGTCCACGAGATGAGTCCGGCAGGGAGATCGGTGCGATTGATCAGCCATCCGCGCTGCATATGTCGGCATTCGTGGCATGAAGTTATTTGTGTGGACGACTGTCATGATGACGCCGCAATGACGATGCTGCTGCTTCGAAAGTGGAAACGTCGACGATGCTGAAGAAAAGCAGCTCCTGATGTTGCCGCCATCCGGAGAGCGGTTCTGCGAGGTGTGGCGACAACGGCGGGCGTCCGAGAAAGATGATATTCCCACAATCTGGGAATGGCGACGACGGTCGGGATACAGTCCGACGCACGGCATGGCACGGCGGCGACGACGATGATGAAGGCGTACATCCGCGGGGATGAACTGCAAACGATGATGCCGCCGGCGCTGACGACGACGACGACGATGACGATGATGATGATGATGATGATGATGATGATGATGATGATGATGATGATGATGATGATAATGACGATGATGATGATGATGATGATGATGATAATGCTATGTTACCGCGCGTTCATTGAATGCGCGTTCCGCGTTTAGTTTTTGAACGTTGTGAATGCGCGTTCAGTGAACGGCCCTGAATGGAATTGACGCGTTTGCGCAAGGGTCCGTCGGGGCTGGGGGGGTGCCTCTGAGGCCACGGGGGCGTCAGCGGTCTTTGGGTGAGCCTGTAGGGAGGTCGTATGTCCCAAAAAAAAAAAAAAAAAAAAAAAAAAAAAAAGGTCCG